CCCCCCCCCCCCGTCAATTAGCCCCCTATTGAATAAGCCATCTTAAACAGAAGTTGCTTTCTCTCCGGACAAGCTCTTCTCTCCCATAAACCTCCTCTTCTAAGCTCTTCTTTTCAATAAGCACTCTCTCTCTTTAATATGCCCTTCTCTCCATTCAATCCTCCTTTACAATTCCCCCCTCTCCGAGTTTCCTTGTTAAATGAGAAACCTTCAGGGGGTGGAGAAATAGGCGAGAACCGCTCGCAGGAAATGTTAAACAGCTGCAGGAATTTCGTTTGAATGAAGATTTGCTTTTGAAAATTTGAAGGAAACCTTAACACCCATGTCCCACTATGGGCGCAACAACATATGGGTGACAGACGTTATTCCTTGAATTTAAAACTATGGTCAGCTAGAACACTATGTGTTCATCCACATGCAGATTTAGCACAAAAATACTCTGTTAGTGTGCAGGATATTTTTGTCTCCAGGTTGTGCTCCCAGGAAGAGAATTGTTTTTCCTGCCCAGGCCACCTCTCCAACCAGCTCGTCTCTTTGGTAAGCTTTCCTTCTTCAAAACACTCTTCTCTAAAAAGACTCTCTCTTGTAAGCCCCCTCCACTCAAGTGTGCCTGCAATAAATAAATCCTGACGTCAATTCCGTAATTTTGCCTCCCCCAAAATATAGTTGATTAACCAACTACATGCTGTACAATGTTACATTGTTAAATTGTGTATAATATACGATTTGATATGCGATAACTCAATAATACGATAATGTGTATATTTAGTATTTTTGCGCAAGTGAATATAACAAATCCTACAAGTTGATTGGTCAAATGTGACGTATTGAGCTTTTATATTCACCTACAGGTGAATATAACAAAACCTAAATTTTCAAAATGGCGGCTACCCGTTTTGTGGAAATTACTGATAAAGAAATAAACGAAATTAAAATAAATCCAGTCCCAAAAAACACAAAGACTTATTTAAAAATACTAAAACAATTATTCGTCTCGGCGAATATTCCCCGATAATCACCTCGCCTTCGGCGAATAATTGTTAAATAATAACGAGACAGTTTCAACTCATTTGTGTTTCAAAATCGTTTTGAAAGAACCTACATAAGGAATCAGCAATTTTTGCCTCGTGTGGAAGATTATTCCAATGTAAGGATCCTTATAATTGAAGCACCAATGTCCACGAAAGTAAAAATTCCGCAATATTTGTGACAACTTTATGTTATTATGGGTGGTTTGGGGTCTTCTGGTATCTCTATCACAAAATTTTTTGGAAAGTAAATTTTCGAGGGCAGCAAGGCTGTTTTTAAAACCATTTTTAAAATAGCTTTCGTAGAAAAATGGTCGGTTTGAAACGCAATTTAAATTCATAGAGTGAGACACCAGAAGACCCCCAAACTACACATACTAACATAAAATTTGGCAATTCTGACATTTTAGAACTGTTCACTTTTTTTAAACACCCTTTAGTGACTAAATTGTAACAATCATGAGATCCTGATGCGCAGTGCTTGTGTGTAGATCGACTTTCTTGCTTAGAATGGCAATTTAAGTTACATTTTTTGTATTATTTTTTCTTTAGGAGAAAGAATAGATAACGGTCAAATATTAGTCAATAAATCAATGCCAATTGTGTCAAGCTCTTTGCAAACAGGTAAAATTGTGTCTTTTGTGTCTGCAGAGGAATTTTATAGTTTAAGGCCTCATTTACATGAGATCGGGACGAAGTCAAACCGGAATGAAAATTGAACTTGTCAACATGTTTACATGAAATTTTCAATTTATTCCCCATGCCAGGCTATTTTCTTTTTAGTAGATGGCTTTTGTTAGCATGTGTTGTTCCAATGTCAAGGTTATAGCCGAGACCGGTCTGAAATGTATTTGTGTTTACATTCATCCCTGTCTGAATTCATGCCGGTCTGAAGTCAGTCGGCTCGGTCCAGCAGGCGGAATGACTTGAGATCGGTCTGAGTTATTTTCGTCCCGGTCTCATGTAAAAATCTGTTAAAAATAATACTATATGACCGAAACGAAATGGTCCCGGTTTGACTTCGTTCCGAGCTCATGTAAACGGGGTTTAAACGAGCTCATGTAAACGGACAAGAAAATTTTTCTTTGTGTTAAAGTCATTAGTTCCAACCCAGAGCTCGCAAGACAAAGAAAAACTTTCTTGTCCGTTCCAATCCAGGAATAATTTTCCTGAGTGGAAACACCGAAACAAGCTTTAAAACGCTGGCTGTTTACCCTGAACGCGCGCGTTGGAGCAAGGGAAGATTGCATCCCTTGATTTTCCATTATAGTCTCCATAATCTGTACCATTATTTTACATAAGTTGTTGTAAGAATTTCATCCAAGCAATTTACACGAAATGCCGTTAAATTATCTTATGACCAAAGTGAAGCCATATGATTGGGGTTTTTTTCAGGATCAATGTCTGCCCGCGCGGATTATCAAGATGTCCCAGTCAGGTAAGTCTCGTGAATAGAATCAGATACGAATAGAGCGCTAGTGCTATTATCTCTTGCTAAGGTGGTTCCCTATAGTTTTAAAGAAACAGCAGCGAAAAATAAGGTCTTCAAACATGACGCAAAATATTTGCTGTTTATGTGAAATGGGGATTTTTTGCAAGTAGATTTTTTCGTGGCCTAAGCGACAGCAGACAACGATTAAATTTTGGACTAAAATGAATTTATTAAAATTTCCTTCGGTCAAAGTTTCTGAAATTTTGTAGGTGTACAGGGAGTATCTACCTAAATAAAAACTCAGCATTGTTTACTAGTTTTCTACTTGCCTAGCGTGTACATCACTTGAAAAATTTCATCCAACATATCTCACTTTAATAATTTACTCAACATATAATTATCTTATATGTAGTAAGAATTATTTTTATCATGTATTCTACCCATTTTTGTAGCTACAAAGGACCAGTAAGCTGTTTTGCTGAGAAAGTGTTAGTAACGGCTAATGACGATGGGGTGAGTATTGATGTTCTCTTCTTTTCTGAATATTATGGAATGAGAGTAATGTAAGGTCGTTGTTTAAAAATCGAATCTGTGGGCACTGAAGGGGCTTAGGTAAGTGTGTGCGCAGTATTAAAGAGATGTCCGTATTAGAGAGATGTCCGCATTAGAGAGATGTGAGTATTAGAGAAGTGTCCGTATTAGAAAGATGTCAGTATTATAAAGAGGCGTCCGTATTGGAGATATGTTATTTGTTCTGGAGAATCTCCGTATTAGAGAGGTGTCCGTATTAGAGAGGTGTCTGTATTAGAGAGGTGTCTGTATTAGAGAGGTGTCCGTATTAGAGAGGTGTATGTATTAGAGAGGTGTCCGTATTAGAGAGGTGTCTGTATTAGAGAGGTGTCTGTATTAGAGAGGTGTCTGTATTAGAGAGGTGTCCGTATTAGAGAAGTGGCTGTATTAGAGAGGTGTCCGTATTAGAGAGGTGTCTGTATTAGAGAGGTGTCCGTATTAGAGAGGTGTCTGTATTAGAGAGGTGTCTGTATTAGAGAAGTGGCTGTATTAGAGAGGTATCCGTATTAGAGAGGTGTATTAGAGAGGTGTCCGTATTAGAGAGGTGTCCGTATTAGAGAGGTGTCCGTATTAGAGAGGTGTCCGTATTAGAAAGGTGTCCGTATTAGAGAGGTGTCTGTATTAGAGAGGTGTCTGTATTAGAGAGGTGTCTGTATTAGAGAGGTGTCTGTATTAGAGAGGTGTCTGTATTAGAGAGGTGTCTGCATTAGAGAGGTGTCTGTATTAGAGAGGTGTCCGTATTAGAGAGGTGTCTGTATTAGAGAGGTGTCTGTATTAGAGAGGTGTCTGCATTAGAGAGGTGCCCGTATTAGACAAGTGTCTATATTAGAGAGTTGTCCGTATTAGAGAGGTGCATATGTTAGAGAAATGTCAATATGGTGAGGTTGAGGTTGTAATATATGTTTTCAACGTTTCAGGATCCTCTTATCAAAATTCTTTTGCGTCAAACGCGGCGTCCTGAGATTGGAGATAAGTTCAGCAGTAGACACGGCCAGAAAGGGTGTGTAAAACATTTTACTTTCGTTATCATTTGCATCGTGTCTACTTTCTCGTAGCCCGCGTCCAGGCCCAAGGGAACTGATAGTGGGCCTGCAAGCAAGGCCCGGTATTTTGTAAAATGCCCCTTTTCATAACACGCCCCATTCGCGCGTCAATTGTCAAAAAAGAACCAATGACAGCACCCAAATATTAACAAACAAACTCGCATTAAATGTTGCGGGGTTTTCTCTGCTTATTCAGAACATAAACAATGTGTAAATGGCAGCGTTTTAACTCCAAAAAAGCAAGCAACGCAGTCAGTAATTGCCAAATTTGCAAGTGCTCATTTTCAACTAAAATCGGAACAGGCAAATTAGGACGAATTTCAACAGAAAACCAGTCTCAAACTTCAAATCGTGAGGGAAGTCGTGCGACCACATTAGCATTTATATTATGTGTGCTTCGCTGTCGCCATTGGCATTGTTATAAATAAATTGTCTCACTTATCAGATCGTGTGTGCAATTCTTGTTGGCGGCGGAAAGTACGAAATTTATTTCAGTTATTTCATTTGGTAAAGAACTCTACAAAAGAAGAGAGCGTTCAGAGTCCAGATCGTTTTGTTTCAAACGGCAATTTAATACCGTCTTCTGTTTCGCTCTCTCAGCGAAGCCTTGTAAATCGCAAAGTGTTTCGAATAGGCTTACATGCAACTGCATCTCAACATCAACCAAAAGATAATTTTCTTGAGGAACATATAACGTATCAAGTCTGTTTGAAATTAATGAAACTCAAGTAAAGGTTACTATAGTTTACCCCAGTCGTAATGTTGCTATTCCAACACCTCACGACAAGCAATCCCCATTGGCATAACGGCAAAAACATCTCTTCCTTCAAGTAAACAATAAACAGTCTGTTCTTGTTCCATTTCGAATATTTTTGAGCTTATCGAGAACCTTTGTGATGAATCACTGACCTAATTATAGAATCCAACAACGAACAGCCAATCAGAATGCTGCGTTCGTGGGCGAACGCGGAAAGTACAAAATACCAGGCCTTGCTTGCAGGCCCACTATCAGTTCCCTTTGGCCTGCACGCGGGCTAACTTTCTCGCAAAAGTATTTATTTACATATTTCTACGCCAATAATTTTTGAAATATCTAAAAACTTTCAGCGTGGTTGGCCTGATTGTGAATCAAGAAGACATGCCATTTAATGAAGTGGTAAGATCGTGCTCTTTAAACCAAATAAGATTTTACAACTTGCATTTGCAAACTAGATGTGTAATTTTCAACTTCCGCCCATTGAGTATAAAATTATGGAAAACAAATATTGAAGCATTATTAATTTTATAGTATTTTGTGATTCGGTCCCCGAGACATTCGTGCTATATATATAAATAATCCGAATGAAATTTAAATGCAAGTGTAAAATCAACTTCTTGTTTATACATATAAAAATGGCGCTTCCTAAAAGGGCATAATTTAGTATATGCAATAATCTTTCGTGCTATATATTAGTACCTCGATATACTCCGCAGACAAAGGCGACTATATAAATTGCATGTATTCCCTTGAGCATTCTCCGTATACGCCCTATATATAGTTGTTGAAACTGCTACGTTTTTTACATACTTTTGCCCTTTCATTATTTAATGAAATTTTTTAATCCAAAGTTTAATCTCGTTTATTTTAATTCTAGGGTATTTGTCCTGATATAGTAAGTACTTAAATGAATGAAATTTTTAATAAATAATACTTGAAAAAGTAAGAGGTTTGCCGAAAAGTAGAAAAACTCACCATGACTTTGGCCAGATTTATACTATACAGATTTTGCTATCCCGTCTGGACGATCTTGGGCATAGAAAAGATAGTTCTCGTCTATTTATTCCCTGTGTATAATTATAAACAAGCACGCAAATTTTTCCTGAGTGCGAACAGTGGTTCGACACTTTACCTTGCGATGGTAACTTCTAGTTTATGAATTATCAGATCATGAATCCACATGGCTTCCCGTCTCGTATGACGGTTGGTAAATTAATCGAACTGCTTGCTGGGAAGGCTGGCGTCATGGACGGAAAACGGCGGTATGGCACAGGTACACATATAGAAACATCCAAATCTATAACACGGCTGGCAGATATATGGTTAGTTTGGTAAATATCAAGATTTTTGTGGCATCTCACTCGAATGAATAATATTTGATATGTATATTGTAGATGGAAATTGTCGCGTGGATTGGAAATTTATATACATTTATTAAACCTAACCAGGAACAGATGCGAAAAAATGCAACTTTAGGTCCCTGGCAGGAATCGAACCTGTGATTCCGGTGCAGTGCTCTAACCAACTGAGCTACAGAGGCCAGTTGTCGAGCTCTAGCCACAAGTTTATGTATATATACTAGGGTACTGCCATGTATAGGTTATGGGTAAATATCAAGATTTTTGTGCCATCTCACTCGAATGAATAATAGTTTGCATGAAGGGTATTATAGATGGAAATTGTCGAGTGGAAATACTATACATGGCAGTACTCTATTATATACATATGAACGTGTGGTAAGAGCTCGACAACTGGCCTCTGTAGCTCAGTTGGTTAGAGCACTGCACCGGAATCGCAGGGCCGCAGGTTCAGTTCCTGCCAGGGACCTAAAGTTGCATTTTTTCGCTTCTGTTCCTGGTTAGGTTTAATAAATGTATATAAATTTCCACTCGACAATTTCAATCTGCGATATACCCATCAAATATGGTTAGTTTACCCAGCATTCCGTTAATCAATCATATAACAAGTCCATATAACAAGGCGTAAAAAAATACCTGTGGTTCCGGTTCCCGACCAACCCTATTTTTTTCTGCCGACCCTATTATTTTTTCAACGCGATTGACCGTGCGACCCTATTTTCTCCAGGTGGTTGCAGGCTGCTCGTACAGCGTGCCAAAATGGCGTCTGTCGTCACACTAATTATTGAACCAAACTGCCTAAATTCGTCCATAGGAAATACGCATCTCAAGTTAATATTGATGTCGGGACTCTACTGCAAATCGCCCAGCATTTATTTCCGACCTACCAACCCTAATTTTTTCACGATATGAAACCGGAACCACAGGGGTTTTTTTACGCCCAAATGCCATCAAGCTTGTTACAATAACTGTGAAGAAGCAGTGCGAACACAATTTGTCGACAGATTGCGCATGAACAGATTTGTAACAACTTGTTTGCAGACCTGTAACAACTTGTGCATTCCAGGTGATCTTGATACGCGGAAAAGTACTGGCACTAGTTGTCAAATAGAAATCCATTTTATGATTGAAACAACTGAATATCTCCTGTAATATACTTTATTTCGATTCCATATTTTTGTCAGAGCTATAGTTCTCATAACCAAACATAATTACAAAATTTCAACTAGTTTCATAAAGAATAACGAAAGATATAATTGACTGAATACATCAACAATATAATTGACTGAATACATCGGACAACCCTTTCTGAGCGCTGATTGGCTAAAATACGAACACAAGATCACCTGGTTGTTATACGTGTGTGGATCACGTTTGAGCTGGGTTCTTCGTAATTCAGCTGTCAGCTGCAAAAAGAGATCATTAATTAGAACTCCTCCATTACCTTTCCCTTACATTTTAGCTTTTGCTGGTGATAAAGTGCATGACGTTGGTCAAGTTTTGGTTGATAATGGCTTCAATTACGATGGAAAAGATTACTTTACGTCAGGAATAACGGGGTATTCATTTATATATTGCTATACATGTATATAGATTTTCTAAAATTTTATAATTCTCAAATATTCGGCCGTAAAGTAAAACTTAGGGGTGCCAACATATATAGTCTTATTCACCAACGTATGTTTAGGTTATGTAAGAAAATACTAGTGGTTGACCCATTTTGCACGGAATTTACCGATTATTCATGTCACAATCTACCCGACGCCAATTTTATAATGACGTCATACCATCAGTAGACCGAGTAAAGGTGTCGATTTGTTGACGATAATTTCCAACGTAACATGTTACTGCAACCAAAGATCGTTAAAATCGTTAATAAATGGCACGTTTCACGCATTAATTTAACATGTTGCATTGGAACGCAACCTGCAATGCATATAATAAACATAGGTACAGTAATTCTACCGATTCCTATTGTCTACCGCTGAGGCAAAAATCGGCCCGATGCCGATTATCGGTCAATCGATAGAAAATAAAAAAATTATCAGACTTAAAGATACTCGGCTTCGCTTCGTATCTGTATATCTGATAAAACACTGCTGCTCATATTTTAAATAGTACATAATCTTCTATATAATATGCTTTAGTGAACCTCTGGAGGCGTACATATATTCTGGTCCTGTTTACTATCAGAAGTTAAAACACATGGTCATGGATAAAATGCATGCTAGAGCCAAGGTAATTAAGATATTATAGTACTCATTTTCGCTCGGTCTTATAGCTATACATACGACACTTATAGCTATACATACGACACTTTTACCACACGGACTGCATTTTCTAAATTTTCCTACAAACGCCTGCGCTATACGCAGGATAGAACAGTGCCGAAAAATCACGCTTAGTTATGGGGCTGTTCATGCATGGTCAAGCTGGCCCGCGGAGTTGCAAAAAGCTGCAGGTATGTGGGTACCACCCGTGAGGAAAGTTTACCGTATGTTAAGCGAGTTAAGTCAGTGAGGCAGGTTCAATAAATCTACTCAAAACTGACACCATAAAACAAAGAAATGACATATACTTGACTAGGCAGGTTAAGGTTACAGGACACCCTTTTTGGCGTTTTGTGCAAAATCGCTACTGCGCGCTCAATATCAGTCCGATTTTCATCAAATTTTCACCAAATGTTCTCCAGTGCATGCAAAATATGGTAAAGTTGTAAAATTAACAAGCAATAAAATAATGTAAGAATTATTCAGGAAAATCTTAAATCGCGGTACCTTTACGCTTTTGAGTTGTGCTCCTGCTGGTTTTAAGTTATATTTATGAAAATATCATTTTTATACAGTACAATAGTTGTTCTAAAAAATTGTGTTCGGAAATTTTTGTTTATTTCGTCATTCCGCTGATATGGCGATTTCTTTGACGACTGCAATATATTTCTGAATTGTTTGAGTGAATTGCTCTTTATTTTTAAAATATCCAAAATTAAAAAAAAGCCGAACACGATTTTGAAACTGACGTATTTAGCTATGTCCTGTGAAAATTTGAGAAAAATTGGTTAAAACCCGCCGGAGCATAACTCGTTTGAAAATCAGTAATTACCGTAAAATTTTTCGTGAGAAAATTGAATTTGAATATTACATTTTCAATGTTTTTCTTATTGCAGCGAAATGTATTTTATTAAATAACTCTGCGAGTTTTCAACATTTTTCGTTCAAACTTGGTCAGATAGTAGAACTAGTCTAATGCTTTCATTGAAACCAATAAAAAAAAATTAGGCAAAATTAACACTCAAAGGTGTTCTGTAACCTTAAGGTTGGTATGATGCTGATGTTGTGCCGGTCGTAATGTATACAGTGCAACATTTCTTAAAGCTGCATGGCCGCTGACAATACCGGGCTAACCCCGGCTCGTATGAACAGACTCTCAGATGATGATTTTTCCTTATCAAAGTGAGATAAAATACCTCTATATATAGTCGTAACTAAAATGTGGCCAAGATTTTTGTGGCTAAAACGTCCTATAGAGGCATTCATTAGTGTTTTTACTTTTTCATTTTAGGGTCCTCGAGCCGTATTAACCCGACAGCCGACAGAAGGTCGCTCAAGGTAAATGTAGATGGATTTTGTAGGTGTGAATGTCGAGTGTGAATTTTATACATTTATTTAGCCCTGGGCAAACTAGGAAACATTGTTGCTGTAACATTGTTTCCTGCCAATGTTTCGCCATGTTTCCCAGAGTGTGCAAACACTAGGAACTCTAACATTAGTGAGAAACATTATGTAGGGAAACATCAAATGTTTCTGAATTTGGTAGGAAACATTTTTGCTTCCCGGGAAGCAAATTTTGTTTCCGCAATAATGTTTCCACGGGTGGGCAAACATGGAAACATTTGAGGAAACATCGAGAATCTTGTGAATGTTACCGCAACAATGTTTTCTAGTTTGCCCAGGGCTTTAGACTCTAACCAGGAGCAGTTACGAAAAATTCAGCCATGCATAAGCCCAGCACACACTAGTATGAGCTGTATGAATTCAACCCCGCCCTTGCTAAACGCCATAACAAAGAAAAGTTTGAAAGATCTTATTGCACTTGACTTGGTTCAACTTGAATGCTAGATTTGGTGGATAGTAGTGAGCATATATAGAGAGTATATTATAGACGGTTGCGCGAGGACGTATGGATTTTATGTTCGATCGAGTGGCAAAACCAATATCTCGCGAGTGAGCGCAGCGATCGAGTGATGTAGTGACATATAAGTTCTATGCGAGTGTTTTAGTTTCCAGTAAAACACCATTGTCCATATAATAGATACTTTTATTATATGGCAAGCATGTGTTTTGATGAATCGCGCAATTTGATTGGCTGCTGACGAGGCAGGATTTTCCCGTATTGCCCACTGGCAATACGCAATTTTTATTGCCCTGCGACGAGAACCGAGTTTCAAACGGCGAAACGTGTCTAAAAGTCTTTCAAACCATAATTCAAAACGAAGAAAAATAAACCTAAATTGATTATTTGTCGCGTTGTGTAGGGAAGGCGGATTGCGATTGGGCGAAATGGAAAGAGATTGTTTGATCGGTTATGGAACAAGGTAACGTTTGCTCTCTTTTACTTCCCAAAAAAGCCAGTAACAATTCTCAGATAAAAAACTCCGGCTAAGTATACCCTTTGCTTTCCTTTACGCAAATCCAACGCGTTACATTTTATATTATAATGAAGCATTTGACCAGTACTAGAGAGACGTGTGTACGAGAGAGATGTCCGTTTTCGAGATGTGTTCGCATTCGAGAGGTGTATGTATTAGAGAGGAGTCCATTAAGAGGGATTTAGACTATGTTGTAATTCAGTATGTTTGAATTTGAAAAAAAGTATTGCCTTCTATATCGACTATATTGAATTCGCAGAAGGCTATAGTTATTCGGAATCTATTTCTTAGTATAAACAGATGATTAAACACGATTCAAATCTTACCGCATTGAAGGAATATTTCAATCTGAATTCTAATTTCGCAATCATTAAATCAGCGGAGCAAAAAAACACCTATCCGATACGGAATGTACAACTTTCGGAAGCTGACCGAAACAACATCTCTCCCTTGCATGCAAATAGCTGCCTGAAAATAGCTTTCCTAAAAGGTACGGGTATAGGTGTTCTTTCATGTCGCTACGAAAAGCTATCCGCGTATAAGTGTAAACGTAGCATATATAACCCTTCATCGTCCATTGCTTGTATGATGAACCCCTGACTTGGGTGAATTGGGCAACCACACCCTTTGTGGTGGATATTAAATATATAACTAGAAGTTACTATCGCAAGGAAAGTGCTGCCTCATCCCGCTTTCCATTGTATAAGCATGTAAAGCCCCCTAAGACACCTGTTCAAGAGGTAGGAAAAGTGCAATTTGAATACAAAAACACCTTGCACAATGTCGAATCGAAGGTCAGCTAAATATTCTAATTCTACTTTCTTGGCATGGACAGTTTTACACCTTCAATGCTTATAATTTCTTACTTCTGTATGTGTAATTATAAGTGGCAAAGACTGTTAATGAGCGAAACTAGCCCCTTTTAATTCGGGGGGTGTCTGCCAGAGTTGCCCTGCCAAAACCGATGATGCCCTGCAGCAAATTTTTATTTCTGGTCACTATTTTCCCCAAGATGTGGACATTAAAAAAAGGGTCAAAAATATTTTCCAGACATAAAACAGTTAAATTAAGGGTCAAAAAATTTTTCCGTACAAATTCCTGTTAAAACATGGGTGAAACCCAATATCTGTAAAATTTAGGTCTGTAAATTCTATTCAATTCCCTCTGAAAGCCCTGTAAGTTACTTCATAACTCTACATTCTATCATTTAAAATCTTTGATTGCCCTGCCAATCCAGATGATTTGCCTTGCCAATCCACATGATTTGTATTTTTTAGGGGGGGTGTCACCCCCCTCCATACCCCCCTCAAGTTTCGCCCCTGTATATAACTATTCTAAATAACTATTCTTTCTCTAGTATGTTGCTAGTTGAACGTCTGATGATTTCCAGTGATCAGTTCGAAGTCGACGTGTGTTCAAAGTGTGGTTTGATCGGTTATTCTGGTTGGTGTCATTTCTGTCAATCCTCGCACGACATATCCTCAATAAAGATTCCCTACGCAACAAAGTTGTTATTCCAAGAGTTGATCGGTATGAACATTATACCTCGATTAACTTTGAAACCCAGTGTTGAGTAAATTGTATGTAATTTAATCGAAGTTATTTAAAGTCTGTTGAACTGTTCGATGTAATATCAGATGTATTTTTGTTCTGGTTTTGAAGTACCACTAACCCCAAGTATGGGTTTTGGCTGATGTAATGTTTTGGTATTTCTGAATTTCCTTTCTTTGTGGAAAGCAACCTAAGACGACATGGCGTGTTTAAATAAAGTTTTTACTACTACATTACTATACTACTATTAGACGAACTAAAAATCTTTATCAACTTTTTCATAGCTGCCATACCGGGTGTCGCAAATAAAATTGGACACTGTTTGATTTCTCATAGTTAATAGAGGAGATGGTTTGGAAACTCGTTAGCATTACAATAAAATCACAATAAACCTCATTATCTATATGTTGTTCAGGTTTATGCAAAAATGTAGTCTTTCATCGTCACGTGCGTATTGTATTTTTCTCAAGTCAACCAATAGGAATGTTCAAAATGTCCTATTGTTAAAGTCATGGATGGGCAATTGGACAAAACCGTCGCTATTGGCTGTTTGAGCAAAAATACAATACGCACGTGACGATGAAAGACCACATTTTTGCACAAACCTGAACAAAAACATAGATAGTGAGGTTTCCAAACCATCTTCTCCATTAACTATGATTTCATATAACGTAAAAGCTATGAAAGCTATCGCAATGATGCAGTATTGAGCGAGATACAACCAAAATAAAAAGATTCATTATTTAACAAGTATAACTACTAACGTCGGTAATTATAAGGTTGCTTTATGCTAATTTTTGGCATTTTCAAAAACAGTAGTTGAACGTTCAAACATCAATAGCGCAGTCGATATTGCATGTAAATTCAAGTGTTTTATATCAAAATGTAAGTGAGTCCTTTATTTATTTAATTTACCCAAAAACAGGAAGGGCGCACCCACAGAGCCGAAGCTCCAATAACGGGTTCCCCGCGTGAGTTGTAAAATACATAGAAATATTGTATACAAAGAGTTAAACACTAAATAGTGCATCACAACAAAAAATAACAAAAAGTCATCACATAATATAAAGAAAGGGCACTAGCAGCACAAAGTGTCACTGAGTGAATCTAAAGGACGGGCTTTGTGACATTTGACACAAACAGTCTTGTATGTGTGCGGCAATTCTGGGTTATAAACATTAGAAGTTAATAAAAAATAGTAATTAAATAGACAACGTTTAAGAAAAATAAATAAATAAATAAATGATAAATAATAATAAATAATAAATGATAAATGACATGTGTCCATGTCATGACATGAACAGTGTCCAGTTTTGGGTTGTTTTTTTTTGGGGGGGGGGACACCCTGTATATGCCGGATAGGACAGCAGGACCGTAATTATGATGTCATAACGTATTGTTAGAATTTGAATTCCTCAGCTGAATCCACAATTGCATAAAAGACCATAAATTTTATGCATAAAGAAACTGTTTAAGGGCCTGTTCATATGGGCAAAAGTTTTCCCGGTTAACGAGAAAACTTTTCGACTAGCCAAATACTTTTGTTCTGTTCATATGGAGAAACTTTATCCCGCTTACCGGGTAAAGTTTTCGGCTGTGACGTAGCACTGAACATGAATTGAATTGAAAAGTTGCTGACACGACAGAAAGTTATCCCGCTAAGCGGGAAAGTTGTGTTCATATGGGAAAAACATTATCCCGGTCACCGAGATCTCGCCTGTCAACAAGCGAGATCTCGGTACACGGGAAAACTTTTTGTCTCATGTGAACGCAGTGTAACTTTTCATATTATTTTCATACCAAGGCGAGATCTCGCTTGTAAACTTGTCGAAAAGTTTTCTTGCTAACCGGGATAACTTTTGCCCATATGAACAGGCCCTAAGAAGCTGCTTTAAATTCCCAAGAGCAGAAAATCGTGCGCTTTCCAAAGATATTTTAATTCCTAAATAAGTCAATATTTATAATATATGCACCCTGTCAATATTTTACGCATCTTTGCATTCAGCTTAGCGCTAGGGCATTCAAATTCTAACAATACGTTATTTCAATAGTTTTGGGGTTTTTTTGGAACACCCAGTGTATGTATAATGAACTTTTGATGAGATGTGAAAGGAACTAAGTGTTTTGGGATTAAATGAAGTATTTCCTTTTGTTTGATATTAAAGTGCCTCGAATAAATTAGACATTGTCATTTGCAGCTGGAGTAGGCTGAATTTTTTTTGCGAAGAGTACAGGTCGATTTAGTCACTGTGATGGAAGGTAGTAGCCGGTTTAGAAAAGCTTTGACAGCAGAGAAAAGAGCGTCATTTGGTTGCCCCTATACTATTCCGAAGAATACAAGATATAATACAATATGGGCCGTCAAGGTTTTTCGAAGACTGGCAAAGTTGCCGAGACGATAAGACTGCTAGGAATGTGCCTTCAAGTTCAGCGAACTTAGATGTATGACTAGACTACACCATTGATATGAACGCAGAAACATTAAATCTGTGGCTGAGTCGGTTTGTGGAAGAGGTTTGCAACGCGATGCCAAAGGAAGGGAGTTATCCAGGACGAACTTTGTATGTTATAATTTGTGGTTTGAAGCGATATTTGAGCGATAAAAGTGGATTGTTCCACTGTGTAAAGACGATAAAAGGTTAGTAGGCAGTATTTTAATTTAAATACGGGAAAATCATCAGTAATTATATACAGTCCTGTTCAAGAAAGGTAATCGAACTTCCGCGCGCTACTGTACGTGAATTACTAGGCTTATGAACGAATTTTTTTCATGATCGGAAAGATCAGGCTTTAGCTATTGAATGACATGTTTTTCATGCCAAGTGGAGAAAAAATAAGCAAGTACGAGTCCGATAAAAAACGTTGGTCAGAATCGCATATTTTCACCTCTGTGCCAATATTATAGAGCAGTTGCATAACGAAAGTAAAAGCAATTGATCACGAACTTGTCATAGCTTTATAGCTAAGATTTATTCCTACTTGATAATAATTATGAATATGTACGTAGTTTTATTGAAGTGAAATTCATCAACTTAAGTCCTAAAGCCAGGGGTAAATTTTCAATGGTTTTAGACCCAACTCTCAAAATATGCGATTCTGACTAACATTTTTTATCGGATTCGTATTTGCTCATTTTTTTACCATTTCGCATGCAGAACACATCATTCAACAGCTAAAACTAAAAGCCTGATCTTTCCGCATATGAAACTCGTTCATACGCAGAGTAATCTAGATACAATATAGTTATATAGCGCGCTGAAATTCTAGCCCTCCCAATAATTTGCTAATAATCATTCTTTTTTTCAAAGTTATGCAGACCTTTATCATTTAAATAGTATACCTTTAAAATACTGACAATTGATTAATTTTAAGCGGCTACATTATCCATGACAAACTGCAAAGAATCATATTACCCATACTTTCCTGCAACTTCTCCAATATATAGTTCATTAAATATGCCTTCGCCTACATTTAGTACTACTAGATTGTAAGCAAATTGTAAATTTCGACGTAGTAATTATAAAACGCTGAGTTCTGACCATCAGAATTCTGTCAAAACTTCCCCAAAGTCCAGGAAATGGAATTTCAGAGACTCTAAATTTAAAAATTTCCTCGGGCCATCACCCTCGTTTTCAGCAT